TATTCAAATGAAAATTTAGCACATACTATAAATCAGTATGCTTTTAAGGCAAAATTTATAAAAAAAAAATTTTTTTTACTTTACTAATTTTAAAAAAGTATTAATAGTATTTTACGAAAGTACAACTTTTACAGTCGATATAAATATATGCCACAGTTACCTTTACAAATTTAAAGGTATAAGATACTAAATTAATTAAACAAGAATATTTCAGTAAAAATTGGTTATTATTAACTTCCCCATAAGTAAAAATCAAATTAATTTCAAAACACTTATAACATATTAACAGGAAGTTAAAACTGAAAATTAAATTGATAATTATTCTGAATGGAGTTAAATTACAGCACACTAAAAATTATAATATGCAGTAAGTACAAATATATTTTTTATGTAGCAGTTAAAATTCAAAATTGTATGGATTTTTACTCTGAACCCTTTTGAAATTGCAGAAAAAACTAAAAAAATTTAAATAACATTTAAAAGTCTAATTTGAATGAATAATTACACTTGCTTTGAAATTGCAGCAACCAAAAAATTTTAAAAAGTTATATTATTAAAATGAAATTTTTGATTTTGTGCAAAAGCTACAATTTACCGAGTCCTAGTTCTTAATAGTAATTTTAATTTGTTGAAACATGTGTTATTTATTCAACTCTAAGCAACAACAAATCGAAGTTCAAATGTCTGCTAAAATGTGGCACAGTTAAAACGTGTGTCTGAAAAAAAATTTAGTTTCTTTTTTTCACAAATTTCTAAGTATTAAGCTATTATTAAACTAAAATTAAATTAACTTTTATATATTGTTAATCAACAATTTAAAATTTATTCAATTGAGAAAACACCTTGAAATTAATTATTAAATTTGTAAAATAACTCTTCTTTCTGGGAGAACTTTAACCTCTAAACTATCCCTTTGACTGCACTAATATAATAAAGTATACTCTTAAGACTACTAAGTAAAAAAATGTTTTTAAAACATAGTTAAATACATTATTTAACTTTATATTTGTTAAATTTATCTATTACTTATTAATGAAAATCTATTAGTAAGATTAATTAAGAAAAATTTATCTATTCACCTATGTATAAAGTGTTTTGCAATCACCACTCTTAATATATATAAAATTGTTAAAAATTAATTTAAAAAAAATGCACATAAGAAAGATCACAAATTAAAATTTAAGCATGGAAGAATCAAAAAACGCTATCAATCATTGGTGAAATAAAATGGATTAAAAACATCAAAGGCTGATTGCCTGATTAAATTGATGGTACTTCTAATGTTTGCTCTCAAATCTTGTTTCCAATGGCAATCAAACAGGTTTTGATGTTTACAGTCTAACTTTCCTCAGTAGTGAGTCCTTATATTTTGAAAGTAATTTTTCTTTTCTTAAATATTAGCTTCAGATCCTAATATGTATACCCTCTTTACTTCATTTTTTAAGAGCATTGAGTCATTAATTATTTGGTCATTAAAAAATACCCCGCAATTCATAAATTTTCAAAAATTTATTTAGGGATGAAATGTTTTGCAAATTATATCTTATATGCATATATAGCTTAGAAAACATAAAATTTTATAAGACGTTCAAATTTAATTTTAATTTAATTCTTTTATTGAGAAATATTAGGATTTCAATGTAATTTTATTATAACAAAAACTCTAAAGTAATATGACTTGTATTCTACATTGTTTTAGACATCAGCAATCTCCATGGATCCAAATTTTAAATGAGAATCGCTTTACTTTACTGTGAACAAAATTATTTTTTGTGCAATATTGTTTTCTCGTTTAAGGTTTTAAATTAATCTTTTTCATGAATGATCAAGCATAGTTTAATAGATGTTATAATAAAATAATGCCAATGAAGATTTATTATTTATTTATTTTAAGAATTGAAAGAGAATAGTTATCAAAAATATTGAAATAATATAATTCAAGGAGAGCAGAAATATTTTACACATATACTATTTTTTCACCATAAACTCCCTTTTTTTAAATTTGAAAATAAAACTTAAAAATTAAATTTTTAATGTGAATAAAAAGAATAACACTATTTAAAGTTTTGAAATAATAATCATTAAAATATTATAGTTCACAACCTTGTAATATTGCCAACATGATTTTAATATTTCATACAAAAATAATGTCAAGCAAAGCTTTATTTATATCGAGAGTTAAAAGAAAATGGTTATAGAACATTTTAAAATAATATATTAACAGCAAAAATATTCTGCATCAGTATAATATTCTCACTATGAATTCCAATTTTTTCTCTTCACTCAGTGTTCTCAAACCAAATTTTTTAATAAGGATTAAAAGAATAGCTATTTAAGGTTTTGAAATAATTTATTCATGAATAACAAAAATATTCTACATCAATGTATTCTCATCAAGATCACATTCATCAATTCACAAAATTTAGGTACAAAATTGTTTGGTAGACAAACAGTATGAAATCACAAGTGTAAAAATTTAAAAGTACAAATGGAATCAGTAAAAGTACTGAATTTAGTACAAATTACTGATAAATTAATAGCATTATTGTGCATACAGGAATGTATGGTGTTGGTAATACTTTCCATTAAAATATTAAACATGTCAAAGCATTTTTCTATATACAGGATTAAGGAAATCTAATATGAAATTCATAATAGTATAAAAAATAATAATAAAAAAAAGGAAACACAATTTAATATAAATACAGTAGGAAAATCAAATTAATATAATTTGTTCATAGCATTATAGCTAGAAATCTTATTCAACTTGCTCCAAATATCATTCCTGATCATGTATAGAAAGTACATTTCAGTAACTTAATAGCAAGAAACAGCTTTGCTGTGCTAACTTAAAACGCAGTCAATATAACTAAAATCAACAGGAGCTATAAATTATTGAGATAAAATAAAATGCCCCACAACATGCAAATCAAGTCGAATTAATAGCATAGTTTATGCCTAACAAAGTAATAATATTTTTCTCTCAGAAAAACAATTTTTTTCTTTTTTAAGATATGCACCAAAACATATAATTTAAGTCAATTTATAGAATTTACAACTTTTGTGAGAAATGTGCTTCACTCACAGAAAAACATTAAAATTTTTAAAGAAATGCACTAAAACAAGAACATGTAGTGTAAATTGAAATAATAAACACCTTAAAATGTGAAAAATGCATGTCAGTAAACATTAAAGTTTTTGAAGAAATACACTTAAACATGTAATTTAAATTTTAGTAATAATGTTATTTACATCTTAAATGTGAGGAGGAAACTTTTTTTCCCTCTCTTCGAAAAAATAAAAATTTAAGTATTTGTAGAAATGCACCACAATATGTAATTATGGTTAAATTTATATTATAATCGGCACCTCAAACTTTTAGGTTCTTCTGTCTTGGATAAACATATTGGATTTAAACAATTTATTGGGTAAGGGGTCAAAATGCATAAAACTACAAAATTGCATCTTCTTCAAATAAATAAAATGTTCAACAATAATGATTTAATAATGAATCCACTGATTAAAAAACATTATTTAAATTGTATTACAAATAAGCTTTACAAGTAAGTTTTTGAAGAAAAAAAAATATTAAAAATGTTGTTATTAATTTTTGAATAATAAATAAGATCAAAATATAAATTAAAAAATGCTTTGATCTTATTTAAGCTGAAAATTTAGGTCGATATTACATAAGAAGTTATCTTCAAACCTGATAAAGGATGCAGGATGATAGGAAATATCAGATAGGCAGGATGATAAGTTATTTAAAACTTAACCTAACAGGTCAGATGTAAAAACAGAAAAAAAAAGGAACAAGCAAAAAAAAAAAGGGAAAAAAGATCACTAGGTCAATTTGAGGTTACAGAAAATTTATTTATCGAAAAATAAATTCTCAGAGGTGCATTTTATAAAAAAAATTATATATTTAAAACATATATTTTTTGCATAACATATTTTTTGAAAATACACCATTTCTAAATTATTAAAATTATGTTTGCTTTGCTGTTAATATAATTTTAAATAAAATTTACGGCACTTTCCATTGTTTTCTTCTAAATTTACATTATTAAAATCATATTTCCTATGATTTTTTTTATCATGCTTCATACATGGTTTATTCCTATTGGTTAGTGTTGCATTTGACCTATAGTAATATGCTTGGAGTGATAAACACTGTTACATTAAGATCATAGTGTGCATGCATATATGTATGCCATGTATGTTTGGTGGTACCCATATTGTGAAAATTAAATTAACAATTTATAAATTCTTGAAAAAAAAGTATTAATGCTGTTTTTTTAATGAATCTATTGCTAGTTGATGATTAGTGCTTTTTTAGCAACAGCATTTCAGTGTGAAAAAAAAATGTCACAACAAAAATATAAATTGAAAAAAAATGAAAAATATTTTATTAATATATTGTGGAATTGAATCTCTTAAAAACAGAATATTGTAGAAAAAGAACCAAATATTGAAGAACAGAAGCTTCAAAAAATATTGAAGATCCTTGCTCTAAAGTCAAAATATTGTGAAACAAAATCTTCCATAGCCAAAATACTATGGAACAGAATTGCCAAAGAGCAAAATATTGTAAAATGGAATCTTCTAAGAAGAAAGTATTGTTGCAGTTTCTTTATAATCTTGATTTAGAACAAACATATCAATTAAAAATTTATTTCGATTCAAGTATTAAATTTTTTGTTTATAATGTAACTTTTCTTAATTATTTCGATTCAAGTATTAAATTTTTTGTTTATAATGTAACTTTCCTAAATCTAACCTTTTTCCCTTTAAATAAGAGGGGAAAAAGCCTGTAATAATTTTATAAAGTGGGTTCCCTTTAAATAACATAATATTTTTAGGCCCATATACATGTTAACATAATCACCAATTTATAAGCAAATATATATTTTTTATTTTTTCGTAAATTTATTAGCACAGATTGCTTTGTTTATAATGGAATTTGTAACCATTGTTTATTTCTTTTTCTTTTTTTTAAAGTACATATTCAAAAAAATTGTTTTTTCCTTTCCCAATCAATCATTATTTACCTACAATTTGTTTCTCAAAGTCTGTAAACATTAAAATGAAATAGCTCAAAATAAATTTTAACTAAGAAATGTTAGATAAGAAAATTAACAACTTTAAGAAATATATATGGAAAAAAATTAATGGTTATGTATTACGGCTTCATTTATATTTTCAATTTAGGGAAAAAAATAAAAATATCCCTTGAGTTTTCTAAGTGCTCAGCTTAGCACATAATAGAATGAACTAAAAAATATCACCCGTTAACAAGTTAAATTTATATTATTTTCATAATTCACATTTTTTAATGAATTTTTACACCATTATCAATACATTACAATACATTTATAATGCATAAATAGTATTATACTTTTAAAATCCAGATAAATTATTCACACTTTATTAAAGATAAAACAAAATGCAAAAGAACAAAACAAAATTGAATTTTCTATGTATAAATTAAATTTATAACAAAAGAAATATATTTCAAAACATTTTAGAAGATTTACTTCAGTAAATATTTACTTAACTTTAGTAAGAAAAAGCTTAATGTTGGAAAGTTTAAACTATAAAATCCTCTAATTTGAAAATCATCTAATTTGAAAAAGATCTTATGAATTCATCCAAGAAACTAAATGTTTTAAAGTAAGTTTCAACTATATTATGGAAAACTGGGTAAGATACTGCAAATAAAAATATTTTAAACAATTAATTTAGAAAGTTAATCTGCAATTAGTTCATGAAGTGTCGAATGAAAAAAATGCAGTCAATAGCAATACGAAAGTGTTTAAAATTTAGCACATTAGCAATATTTTATAATATACTTAAAGCACTACCAGCAAAAAAGGTATTAATACCCAACACAAACTAGCGTGAAAAATATTTGTAGAGTGAATACTTTTACATATGGTATGTAAAAAGTCCCAGAACAGTTAAATATCTTAAGAATACACATTAGACATAAAAAAACTCACGTGATTATTATTGAACAAAAAGTTACATAAAAGATTCTAAAGTCAACCTTTCCAACCCTCATCCTAGGTGAAAAGTGGAGATCTACTTTATCTGAATTAAAAATCTCATTTCAGATTCATCAGCAAAAATTACACAAATCTGAACAATATTTTTTAATTTTTATGCTCATAGATGGCATTGAAATCACAAAAGAAAGAATGAAACATGAAAATTTGAATCAGAAATAAACATGAAATGGAAGATCAATTACTTTCATTATTTTAAAAACTCCAACTAGAGATATAAAACTGAGCAGTCCTTAACAGTCCCCAAAGCCTGGGGCTAAGAGAAAAGTTTGAAAATTATATGATAGTTTCATTTAAAACATTTAACACAAGTGTATCTTTTTTTTTTTAAATATATATATATATATCTGATGTGTATATACTAAGATATCTCCTTGATTCATCTTCCCACTTTGTGCTGGAAGTGTTATTTAGAAAGTTATGAACATATTTTAGCAGAAAAAATTTAGATCCTAAAAACCCTTGTGTCAAAATTATTGGCATCAGTTTTTTGATTTTAAAAAAGAAATTTTTTTTTGCTGATTTCACTTACTAATCATGTTAATTAACTCAACTTGTGATCTGCAAANCATATTATGGAAAATTGGGTAAGATACTGCAAATAAAAATATCTTAAACAATTAATTTAGAAAGTTAATCTGCAATTAGCTCATGAAGTGTCGAATGAAAAAAATGCATTTAATAGCAATATGAAAGTATTTAAAATTTAGCACATTCCAATATTTTATAATATACTTAAAGAACTACCAGCAAAAAAGGCATTAATACCCAACACAAACTAGCGTGAAAAATATTTGTAGAGTGAATACTTTTATACATGGTATACAAAAAGTCCCAGAACAGTTAAATATCTTAGGAATACACATTAGACAGAAAAAACTCATGTGGTTATTATTGAACAAAAAGCTACATAAAAGATTCTAAAGTCAACCTTTCCAAACCTCATCCTAGGTGAAAAGTGGAGATCTACTTAATCTGAATTAAAAATCTCATAGCAATCACAAAAGAAAGAATGAAACATGAAAATTTGAACCAGACATAAACATCAAATGGAAGATCAATTACTATCATTATTTTAAAAACTCCAACTAATGATATAAAACTGGGCAGTCCTTAACACATCTCAAAGCCTGGAGTTAAGAGAAAAGTTTGAAATTATATGATAGTTTCATTTAAAACATTTAACACAAGAGTTTTTTTTTTTAAATATATATATCTGATGTGTATATCCTAAGATATCTCCATGATTCATCTTCCCACTTTGTGTTAGAAGTGTTTAGAAGTAAACTTTTGCATAATTTATTTAGAAAGTTATGAACATATTTTAGCAGAAAAAAATTATATCCTAAAAACACTTGTGTCAAAATTATTGGCATCAGTTTTGAAAATATTTTGTCTTAAAAAAGAAATTATTTTTCACAGATTTCACTTACTAATCATGTTATTTAACTCAGCTTGTGATCTGTAAAAAAAAATGTGTCAAAAAAATGCTAATTGTAAACCAAATAGTGTATTTTTATAAACTGTGTGTCTTCTTACAATAACTTTTGGAAAGGAAAAATTAAAAAATTTAAACATAATAAATTTAAGTTTTAGTGATTAGTACATTAGTGATTAGATTAGTATCACAATGTTAGTTTATTATCACAATATTAAGTGTTAGTGATTAGTTACAATATTATTTTTATATATTTAGACTAGTCTAAAATTTTCAATTAAGTAAAACAAATTTAATGAAGTTATAAATATAGATATATATAAGTAAACACCTAAGGAACAGATATAAATAAAGTATGTTATGTTTTATTAAACTAAATCAATTTTCTCCTTTCTTTGTTGCTTATATTTGTATCATAATATAATAAAAACTATCTTAAGTCAAATAAGAAAATTCAATAAAAGATAAATATTAATTTTCACAGAAACTATACTGATTTTATAAAAGCTATATATATATATAAAAAAATTCAAAATAATTTCTCTTTGCATTTATTATAAACAAAAATATTTCACAAGAAAATATTAAAATAAAAAAACTGCATTATTTTATAAAAAGAATATATATATATAGCAAATCAATTATGTTAAATAATATTAAAATTAACTATAAAAACTATTTACAAGACAAAAGACTACAACAATTTTTCATTATACTTATTTTAAGCACTAGACATAAAATTAACTTTTGACTAATAAAGAAAAAAAACCAAGGAATGTCGATGATAAGTATTGCAAGCAAAACATAGATCACTGCACAAAAAGAAAACTAATAACACACTTATAAACACAAGTAGTTTCCTGAAAAATTAAACATCTTATAATGCACATGAAACAAGCGTTTTCGAGAGAGAAAATATAATGTGGATTTAAAACTAGAAAATCTGTCAATAAATATAAAGATTAATTCATTTTATTTAATAATTAGATTTTAAAATTGATTTCAGTCAATAGATTGCACACTTTACAACATAAAATAAGTCATACTACAATTTTTAAAACAATCTTTTTATAATTTCTGTCGATTTTGTTACTAATTTTTCTAAAAGAAAATAAACAAATAGGCATATATAATAATACTAATTATTATGTACATTTTTTTCAATTTAGATCTGTGGAATACACATATAAAATTCACACACTTCAGACCACAACCACATTTTACACACATCACATAGGCAAATTTACTGATTTTTGTCAATAAAAATAACAAACAATCAGTTTTTTGTTAAGGACGACAGTTAGATAAGTAATTTTGCTGATGGCTGAACTACATCCCTGTCTTTATTGGACGACTGTCGAAGAAATTCTTGAATGTGCTTGACAATCAGATCTATAGCAACTAGAAAACAGGGGAGGGGAGAAGGGGTAACTTATGCTTGGTTACTGCTAACAATAATTAATTTTGAATTAAACTTTCAAAGAACTGTGGATAATAGTATAGGTAAAAAAAAATGTGGTTCATGCAACTGCAAGCAAGACTGTAAAGTATTTATAAAATTTAAGCAATGATAAGTTTATAAGATTGTTTTGGTAAAGGGAATTTCATTAGTCTCACTACAATATGAAGAGTCATGGATTTAAAACAATTATAGAGTTTGATAATAAAATATATTTGATTTTTCTTTCAAATGTTTAGCATCAGCACACTAAACAAAACTATTATTATCGAATTTTTAAATTATTATTAAATCATTCTTTGAATTGAATTGTTTAATAATTGAGACTTAGCAAAGCAACATTATTGTTTAATGATATTTACAGTTTTAGTGGCTGTTTTTACAAGTTATCTTCCAATAGGCCAAATTATTTTACATAATTGGACCAATAAGGAAGTTAAGAAAAATTAGCACAATCAGATTAAAGCTTAAATGTATATTCCTTGCAAAAACCTTATGCAAAAACCTTAACTTTATTAATTAACAAAATTTTAAACCAGTTCTTTTTTAGAATTTGTAATTTGAATAAGAAATTTTTAAAAGTTTATCATAATTTCTTTGCCAATTTAAATCAAAATAAATTTTAATTTTGAAATAAAATGAACATTTGTAGGACCTATCTTAGTAAAAAAATAGTATTTTATTTACTTGCTTTTGAGCATTGTTAATAGGTCTTAAGTTATTGATGGATAGGTCTAAAGCTATGTATTTTTCTTTAAAAGACAAACTGCCATTTTTAAAGGAATATTTTTAATATTAATTCGACTATGAATTAATGAAACATTAATTTTTTTAGCTTAAAGTTTAAGATAATTTCAAAATACATACAGAACATAAAATAATCAGCTAAACCAAATTTTGTAGCAAGTTTTTCGAAACAGTTTATAGCTTCATTAATCAAAAAGAAAATTATAAAGAATCTGTGATGTATGTTTATGTTAAGGCTAATTACAGTTTTATAAATAAAATAAAAATCGTTTGTATACTTCCTTTTTGCAAAATTTTAAAATTGCCTTTAATTCAAGTTGAAAAACAGAACTGCTAATAAAAACCATAAATATGCAGCCGCAATATTAAAATAACTAAAAACGCTTCAATCGAACAACGACAAAAAAAGGAAACTAAACTTCTAAATGTGAGTATGATTTTTGAGTACTTAATAATGGTGTAATAGCAAGTATTTTTCCAATCTTCTTTCTTACATTTGTATGTAAGAAATTAGCATATACAATAAACAACAGATAATGATCTATTAGAATGAACATGTTATACACAACTAATGATCAATGCAATAAAGATATTGATTTTATAACATGATGGTATTTTAAAAAGGAAAATAAACATTCCATATTTAAAAACAGATAATGTTAAAAATAAAGTTTCTTTTACCTTCATTATCAGCTCCCCTAGGAATGATAACATCAGCATATTTTTTAGTCTAAAAACAAAGGATATTTATATTAGTACATAAATACTCTATGCATTGCTAAAAATATTATAAAATTTAAACCGTGAAAATCTAGATTTCTTCAATACTTAATTAGTGCTACCATGTATGCATTGAAATCTGTATAAGTTGACCACTTGCAGAGCAACTTATAGAGGGAAAGGGGGAGCCATTGCTGCTTTTTACACCATGTTATTCTTACATAAGATTATGTATACATTATTATTTAAGTTAATAATGGTCAATGTCATATTGGTCAACTTAAAAAGAAGTTTTAATTAGTTCTTATTACTATTTCACGAATTCAGTAAAATACTAATACAAAATAAAATATCATACAAAATGTCCTAGAAAGTTTTTTTCTTGATGGTCAAGTTATAAAAGGTTCAGAGTAGCACTCAAGAACACTCCCAGACAAATTTGATTTATTTCAGTGGTCAACATACAAGATAGACAGGTGGTCAGATTACAAAGGTTTTGCTCAAGTTTACTATATAGAATAAATTATCTTCTTGATTATTGAGATCAACTGACAAGGGTGTGGTCAACTTGACAAGTTTCACTGTACCATTAAAAATCATATTAAACACAATCTTAACATTTCCTTAAAATATTAATTTATCTAAAGAAATTTCATTGGTTGAAAGAGTCCCATTTTGACAGGTGATCATTTTGAAAAGTTTCAGTTCTTTTTTTCAATAATGATTTCTGCTTTTTAAATATTGTATAGAAATTATAATGTCAACTTTGCTAAATTTTAGAAACTGTCAATAATTAAATGCACAAAATTAATAATAATTTAATAATCTGAAGAACTGATTACATAAATCAACAAATTAAATAAATACAAATCCAGCTATTCTCAGGAAAGGAATTCAAACCATTCAGTTTATATTCAATCAACTAAATCAGTGGTGCGCAAACTTTTTTCGACCGCGACCCCTTTTGTAGAGAGAAAATTTTTGGCGACCCCTAGAGATAAATGTTCACAAATACGATGTATATTTCGAGCATTTCTTTCGTTTCATCGAATAAAAACATCATCATATTTGACTCATATTAATTTTATTTATAATTTTAAGAAAATACTTTTTGTATAACACAAAAATCAGTAAATTNCAAAACAGATTTAGCGACAAGCTCCGAAAGACAAGCGGCAGAGGTAACTCTTAGTCTGACTAACTAACTCCACTGTACTCCGTTCCCCCTATTATATAATTTTTCACCGCATCTCCAAAATTCTCGAATTGTCTCTAAGACGATAGAACGTCTAGGATTCCAGAATATTAGGACACAGTTGGAAGCGGAATTCGTCGCTAAAGACTATACATCCCCAGTGGGCATCATTCCAGCCATATCTGTTCAAAACATTCATGCATACGAAATTTCAAAGCAATCGGATGATTGCTTTTTGGTGCGTCGATTTTTTTTAATAGAGTGTACTTCACGAAGTCAGTAAAATACTAATACATAACATAATATCATAGAAAATTTCCTACAAAGTTTTTCTCTTGATTGTCAAGTTATAAAAGGTTCAGAGTAGCATTCAAGAACACTCCCAGACAAATTTGATTTATTTCAGCGGTCAACATACAAGACAGGCAGGTGGTCAAATTACATAGGTTTTGTTCAAGTTTACTATATAGAATAAATTCTCTTCTTGATTATTGAGATCAACTGACAAGGGTGTGGTCAACTTGACACGTTTTACTGAACCATTAAAAATCATTTTAAACACAAATTAAACATTTCCTTAAAATATTAAATTATCTAAAGAAATTTTATTGGTTGAAAGAGTCCTTTTTTGACAGGTGATCATTTTGAAAAGTTTCACAGTTTTTTTTCTTAATAATGATGTCTGATTTTTAAATATTGTATAGAAATTATAGTGTCAACTTTGATAAATTTTAGAAACTGTCAATAATTAAATGCACAAAATTAATAATGATTTAATAATCTGAAGAACTGATCAATTCTATTCAATAAATCAACAAATTAAATAAATACAAATCCAGCTATTCTCAGGAAAGGAATTCACACCATTCAGTTTATATTCAATCAACTGAATGAATACAAACTGATATATTAAAAGTATCCAAGTGTCATAAGGAGCATTATAATTTTAATTATTCAATATAATTGAATTAACTGCATTATTTTAATAACCCTTATTTTAAATTTCAGTAATGATATCAATTTTTAAGACATAGTCAAAATCATAATATTAACCTTATTCAAAAAATTTTGTCATTTCAATTTAAATGAATGTAAGATATTCAGTTCACATTCATTCCACTAAACATGTGTAAGCAATTCAGTTTGTACTAATCAAATTTATAAGTAGAGTCAATTTTGTCAATGTACTGACTGAAGTAGTGATTTTGATATTTAGTAATGAGTAAAAATCAAGATATTTATTTTATTTGAAAAATCTTTGTAATTGTGACTGAAAATTTAAATGAAACAAGTTATTCAGGTTAAACCATTCAACTAAATGAATGTAAGACATTCAGTTATGGAAATTAACAATTTAATGAGCAAAAAGGAAATCTGAAGCTTTTAATTAAGAAAAAAAAACAGACTTATACCACAACTGCGAACTTTCAATTAAACTTTTCCAAGTTTGGAAAAAAAATTTTATATTGAATACAGAATATTCATCTTTAGAATTTTATACTGAACTAAAATTTACTTACTACAAAATAAAATGTAGCAACGCTATAATTAAATTCAAATAACTTAATAAAAATGCAGTTCCTGAAAATTTCACTGCAGTCTTTAAAATAATATCAGTACAAATTATTTATATGTAGCATGGTTTTATGCAAAATTGCTTACACATATTGACTGCTGTTTTTTTTTTCTTCTCACACTTAACTATATGTCACAACCTTTGGTTTCAGGTTGTGATTATTGTCAATTCTACAATATTTATTTTCTTTACAAAGTAAAAAAAAAACAATAAATACATAAATTAACTTATTAACAAAAGCAGGAATAAAATATTAAATATAGTAAACTAAATACAAAAGTACAAATATCAAAAAATAAACAAAATAAGGATTAAAAATATTCTTATTTCTCTCCGACTAAGACTACTTTTGGATTAACCTAGTAGTAACAATATAACTAGGATATTGGATTAACCTAGTAGTAACTAAGTAACAACCTAGGATAGAAAACTCCCATTAAAAAAATATTAATAACATATAAAATATTTGAAGGAATATTGAATCAAAATCGAAGAAAGAATCGAAATATATACTTTATTATATTTTATATTATTATATTTTAAAATCAGTAAATCCAAACTTACAGGCAAGCAGAAATCTTCAAAAGCAGGTTTCACATAGGTTGTATATTGTTTCAATATTTGGTCCAAATCCCTTCCTCTTTCTCGAGTATCCCGAAGAACTATTTAAATAGTATCAAAACATAAACTTAACATACACATTTTAAACATAATTTAAGTTAATTTAACATATTTGAACTTTAAACTAAAAAACATTGTTGTAAATTGACATTGTTGTAAACATTGTTTAAACTAAAAAACATTATAATATCAAAACTTAGTTAAAAAAATTACATCTTTAATTTCTAGTTGCAGTATAACATATAAAAAAAAGGTATGATGTGTCCAATGATTTTACTAATTATATAGTTAATTTATTCAACAAGTACAGTTAAACCTCAATATTTTATTACGAACGATATTTTATTACAAACATCGATAATACAACTTTTTAACTATCACAAAAAAAAACTTAAAAACCTGAATATTTTTAAGCAGCTGGCACTTAAAACTCGGGCCTAGTATGACTTAAAATTTCTGAGAGCTTCTAATAAATCCTTTGAGAAGGAAGTTAGCTATTTGAAAAGCAATTGGAAAATGTTTCTACTAAACAGTAAAGTAACCAAGTGAAATGTAAAATAATTTTAACTCAAATGTTTGGAAGCTTAAGTGACTTCAATATTCAACAAGTTAACAATTTTTAATGAATGGAAAAAGATTGCTAATCATAAATACCAGTAAAAGTGCAGCAGCTATCAACAACACTAATATTTGAAGAATTAATTAAAATTGGGTAAAATAGAATAGACTAACAACAATAACACATACCACAAATGCTTTAAAGCAACAATAATTTCTATTTTCAATTAAAAGAAAAAACATTGATTAGAAATTTAATTACAAAAAAATTACTGTTTATAAAAGCATGATAATTGATACATAGTTAGATAAAAGCTATTCCCAAAACTAAATTTACTAATTACGTTATTGTTAAAATTCTACATTTATGTACATATAGATGTGTGTCATCTTATCATTTGGTGCGTTCTATTAGAGATAAAAAAAAAACACACGATATGGTTAAGAATCAAAGAACAAAATAGTTCTAATTAAGTATATAAGCAAAGTGTAGCTAATATTAAATAAAGTTTGGTTCACTATATATAAGTTATATAAATAATATTCCTTTAAAACTTTTTAATATTTATTATCTTTCTTAACTTTTAATTAATTTTACTTAACTTTTAAATATTTATAAATTACATAATATATAATAATTATATTAACTTAACTTTTTAATACTTATTAACTATTTTTTGGTATAACAGAATTTTTGAATTTGATTATTACGAAAATTAAAAGTATAAAACTAAAAACATTGTCCCTTTATAATATTATAAAATATTTAAATGATATAATAATAATAATGATAGCATGCTATACTTATGATAAACATACATAACTAAACTCAGCGGCGCGACAGCCCTTGAGGGCCAAGGCCTACTGTGCCCATCTCAGTTTTCTTGACCTTGGGTTCTGGGGTGCTGGAGCAGATGTTCCGGTCAGGCGAACGCGGAACCCCCAGTGTTTAGTTCCCAAGCATGCTTCGTACTCATTTACCGACCCACTGAAGGGATGAAAGGCTGAGTCAACCTTGCCCGGCCCGAGGATCGAACCAGGGACCTGTGGTACGACACCGTGAAGCGCTACCGCTCAGCCACCGGGCGATATACATAGTCACCATTAAATAAGTCATATTTTCTTATATTTTATGTGAAACTGTGCTTAGGGCAGACATGCAACTATAATAATGGATACGAAATAACTAGTTACATTTTAAAGCAATATTGGGAATTAAAATTTCACAAAAAATAAATTAATAATAAAAATTAACTTAAACAGAAATTTATAAATGATTCTTTGAATGAAGTTGCAATGGCAATCAAGCAAAGTGATAAGGCTTAAATTTTATTCCAATAGAATTAGGAATTTAATTTGTGTTAATACAATTAAAAATTTTGGAATCTTTCAGTTAAAAAAATATTTTTAATTATCATGTAACAATCTGCTTATCAACAATAAATGAAAATAATTGTGCATCAATTTCGAGGGGTTGGTAAATTAAGTAACCAGAGCTCCTTGCTCACTTCATCTACCCAACATTCATTAAATCATTATCTCGTAACTTGTTTACAAAATCCTCATTCAACTCATTATTGCATGCAACATTTTAAAATGTGGAAATAATGTCACCTCTTCGAGATAGCCTTGTGTCTGGATCAGTATCTACAAAGAGTTTCATATGAAAAAGATTTCTAATTTCTGGAAAGTAAAACACTAAAATTCCTTCAAATAACACCACATCTGCAGGCTGGACAGTAATGGATTCATCTTTTTTGCTAGAATGTAGCAAAGTATACATTTTAGTACTAAATACAAAGGAAACTTTATATCCATAATAAAATTTCAATAATTAAAACACATTACAAATTGAAGTTTTAACAAACCATAAAATATTTAGGAAAATATTTCAACAAAATTTTTTTTAAATTAAAATAATGCATTAATTTCTTCTTATATCATATAATTAATTAGAGTATAACAATATTTTTTAGAATTTTATAGCACTTTTTCTTCCAAATTTCTTTAAAATTGTTTATGTTTATATTTTTAAGCAATTCTGTTTTAGAATTTTTCTTTAAATGTTTTCTTTAACATTAATTAAATTTTGAATTATATTCATATTAAAATTAAAAGCAAAAATTTTGTAATATTAAACTTAAAACACAAATAATGTAATTAAATTTTTAAAGAAGAATTCCAAAAAAGTAAAATTAAATTTTATATAATTTAAAATAAACAGAAAGTATTCTCTCAAAAAATTAATTTGATGCAACTTAAATATTGCATCAAATTATTTTTCAGATGCTTTGGAACTCTGAATTAAACCATCGCTCTAAGATGTAATATTATAAGGATGCAACATATGAGGATCAAAGCCTACACGCTACCGACACACCCTAATGAAGATATGGTTGTTTTCCCCTAGCAAAGAAGACAAGGTTTGTTTCTTTATCTTGAATGACCATGAACAAATTGAATCAGACATTGCAGTTTCATGTTTTTATAAGTACTTAATTAACAGTGCTTCTTGTAATATTAATTGTAATATTTTCTGTGTTCAATTATCATCTTACCATTGTGAACTCAAAACTAATCATAAATAAAATTAATCAAAAAGAATTTCTTTGTTATTTTGAGTTTTTTTTTTTTTTTCATTTTAAACAATAGAATTTGATAGCTAAAACATGTATTTTGTATTTAAATAGTTTTCTGCTTTGTCACATTAAATTTATTCATTTTTCCTTGTTTTCTTTGTATTGAAAACTTTCCATAAATGTAAGTAGAATACTTCGATAGAATTTTGATATTTTCTACAAAATTCTAATTAGTCATAATTTGGAAATTGGATGTTTCAACTGAAATTTTTTAAAATTTAAAACTAAGCAAGCATTTATTGATTGAATATAATTCGACCATTATTAAATCTTTCGAACGTTATTGTTTTAAACAATTTAAGACTGGGCACGATTGTGCCCATCTCTTTCGTATTAAAATTGTTAATTCACATACAGTAGAAAGCCGATTATCCAAACTGCTCGGGACTGATCGTGGTTCGGATAATGAAAAGTTCGGATAATTGGAAAGTTGTTTAAAATCTAGTTTTATTTATGCACTAACTTCCCTTCACACTTTTTCTAGGCTTAGGACTGGCAGTACTTTCTAAAATAGCTCTGACGTGTTTAAAAATTTTTTTTTCAATTTTTAAATATTTTATTTATTATTTTTAAACTTTTTTTTTCATTTCGAATTATTTTTATCATATTTCAGCTTTTCATAATTTTTTTTTTATCAATTACTGATTTTAACAAATTTTTCTTTATTTTCCATTTCAAAAGAAATAAATCAAAGACTTTTGTTTCAAAGAAAATGATCTTTTTTGAGCAGCCATATCCCTTATTCTTTTTAAATAAATCAACTGAACTGGATCAACATCATTTTGGCGTTTTAGCCAATTCATTGCAATATCTAATGAATTGCATGCTTCTATATGAGAAGGTCCACTATCTTGAATTTGATCACCTACTTCTTCCTCTTCATCTGTGGAGTTCCAATTTTCATTCGAAATTTCAGCAACAATTTCATCATCATCTAAAATTTGAAATCCTGGGTCGTTTTCAGTGCCTCGACACCAGTCTTCTATTTCTTGTGCTGTATAGCCTGGCATCTTTTCATCGGGAAGATCTACTGCTTCAGAAACTTCAGTTTTGTTAAGAATTTTATTCCAAGATTTAAGATTCCAAGCACTGTAATCACTAATCATTAACCATAAGTGACAAGTACCCATCCCTCAATTGTAGAACTTCAGCACACATCTATTCATAAGTTCCTTCCTCATTTCAACCATTGTAGACTGTCAAATTGAAGTTCGTATTCTTGGAAGATAATTTTCAGTTGAAGAGGGAATAAAGGGAAATGCAGGTTTAACTGTATAACAATACATGTATGTATTGGCTACTATGGGAAAACTGCTAAAAAAAGGTTGTAAATTAAATATGGTCTTTATAGTATGTAGTGAATATTATTTATTCTTCTAAATTTAGAAAAATTGTCGATAAGTTAAAAAGTATTCTAAACTTTAAAAAAAAAAAGTGAATTCCGACATGGTTCGGATAATTGGACGTTCGGATAATAAGGGTTCGGATAATCGGCGCTCTACTATTTGTATTTTATGTTCAACAGGACAAGAGATGATAGCGAAGCACATTGATGACTGTCCCACATCAAACTTTAAATATATTACAGAAAAACATAGGAGAGCAAGAAGACTAATGACTTAACAGTCAACAGGCTGGCATTTGTTAAATAAATATATCATTTTAAATAAATAAAAAATAGCTATGCTTTGTAGATAGCATTTTTTTATTTTATATTTTATACCATGTTTCATTTATTAGTACAATTTATTCATGTATTTATTTTTTTACACATTTTTCTTAATATTTTTTAAATTTACCTTAATGCATGTAAGTTGAATATTTTTGCAGAATTTCATTATATCAATTTTAAACATTGTAGATATTTAATTGTTTTCATTTTTTAAAAAAAAATTAAACAAATTTTATTTTATTTTTTTCCTTTTTAGAATTTAGTTATTAGTAAATCCACCTTCACGTTACCTTATTATCATTTTGTTATTAAAAAAAATTTTCTATTAATATTTTAAAAGCAGTATTTTCTTTTAATTAAGATTTATTACTTTTAAGTATTTAAAATTGGTTTAAGATTACTGATAGCATGGTTTTAATGTTTCAAACATGACTTTCTGTGTGTTACAAACAAACAATACTCTATTGAATGTTATATCCCGGTACACCAATGTCTAACTGATGATGCATCACAATATTGAATTTCTCAAATTGCCTAGTCCTACATATATGTAACGAATTAACTTCCTGAAAAACTTACCGAGAATTAGATATAAAATCATACACAGGTATTTGTACCACTTTTCCAGCTAGGATTTCCATTAGTACTTTATGCATAAGGTTATTATCGAATGCATCTGGAAACAAAAAAGATTTTCAAATAATTAGCAATACGTATTTATAAAAATAATCATAATTATGTCAATATAGAGTGATATGCAAGTCATCTTGTAATTACAGCAGAATTGAAAGACAAACCTCAATCCCTACAAAGAAATTATACTAAAAACCAGCACCGTCTCTCCATATTGGTACACCCAAGCTGTACTTGGAGGCAAGGTTGGCAAGTTTCTGCCGAAATTTTTCAAACCACTGGTAGAAACCGGTTAAAACCGGCATGGCAGAAACCCTTTTCTGCCACATTTGTAGCAGAAAATGACATAAAAGTAAGTACTGAGATTGACATACAATGGATAATTCACAGAAAAAACAATTAAATGTTAAACAAAGTACAATTTATTTACAAAATTATCACCATTTAAAATCAAATATTACATTGCTTGCACTCTGCAGTAATCTATAACAAAAGACAAGTTTTGATGCAGTTTCTATACCTAAACAATTTCTCAATTTGCCTATGCACAAACGAGAAATTTGAGAAGATTCTCTCAAGTCCAGCAGAACTAGCAGGCATTGCCATCAAGGAACAAGCAAGATTTGTGAATCTTTCATCAATTGCATATTTTTTAAAACTGGACCACCATGTAGCAGCTGGGGCAGTCGATTTGTTTTATATAAATGATATACTGCACTCTTTATAATTGATATAAACAAAATAATATATATTTACAAACAATGAATTAAAATGTTTGTTACAGTTATATGGAGTTACATTTTTTTGTTTACTTAAACAAAATGTCATTAAGCAATTACTAGAACAAATATCGACGCATTTTTAGTTTCCGCCAGTTTTGACCGGTTTTTACCGATTATAACCAGTTTCTGCCACTGGCATGGCAAAAATCAGTTTCGGCCGGCAAAAAGCCAACCCTGCCTGGAGGCCACAGGCAGTTCAGAATCTTACTTTCAATAGATTGTATAAAAAAAACTAAGAAGAAACACATTGCCTTCTATTTTTTTAAAAAAATACATTCTATTGAATTAAGTTAATACTTTTTTTTCATATATAGTGATTAATTGCAAATATGTACCAATAATAGGAATTGCCTACAGCAGGAAAACTTAAAGCTAGAATAAATAAAGGAAGATTGCGTCAGATTTTAAAATAGAGCCATAAAGTCCAAAAATACATGTTTTGAAGGCAATTACATGAAAGGCATCAACACAATAATAAATTTGCCTGACAATTATAAATTTTAAGCAAATATTAAAATAAAGTTCTAAATAAATTAAAATTATAAATTGTATTTACCAGGATGGTCAAAGTTGTATTTCCCTCTGGCTGCTTTTTGCTTTTCCTCATTGGTCAGTTCCTTGTAGAAACTATCCTGGCTAATACAAATCACCTGTCGCTGTTGGTGATCTACGGAATATTGACCCACTTTGTCCATAATGTTCTGGCACACTGTGGACTTTTTAAAAAAATTTAATTAGTATCATTCAACAGCTAGCTTGTAACAAAATATTAATTAATTTTACATTTTATATCCTAAATTATTATTATATACTGCCTTGTGAAATAATAATTAAAAAATAGTGGCAGGCTAGCCCAGACTCTTTTATATTTACAAAAGTTAAGAGAGATAAAAAAAAAAATTTGATTTTATACCTTTTTTTTTCTTTAATGGTAAATTTAAACCTTGATTATCTAATTGGAAATGGTCATACTTTTGTAATTAAATACGCAGATTATAGAGGTATCATTATTTTGATTCCTACTTTTGTCAATTAACTCTAAAAACAGTTTTTTTCTAAATAACAGTGCTCTATATTTAACTTAATTTTTATATGACAATTTAATAAATATTTTTTCCCCAAAGATAAAGTTCCAAGATTAAAATTAATTTGCACTGGGTGCAGATATCAATATTTCTTCACTTGTTGTTTTGAACAAACCATTTGATTACCAAAGAAAGAGAACGGTTTACGTCTATTTTTCAAAAAATGAGGATTGGATTGCTATTTGTTGTGTTTTGAGAATTACTAAGTTTTAACAAATCAATAACGTGCAAATTCGATTGTCCCCGAGAATTATTACACAGGGAAGATAGACTGTACGGTGGAAAAACCATCCTTTTCCAGATGCAAAATAGTTTTTTCTCTGAATCAGCTTTTATGAAAATAAACTGTTCTTCTCCGTGGACTTAATTAATACAAAGCAGTAAGCAATTCTGAATCACTAGCTGATTTCTTTGATTTATATTGCTTTAAAAGTTATTATGAGAAAATGGATGAAACAAGGAAAATTACATCTTTGAGATTGCTTTATCAAAACCAAAACAGCTGATTTCACCCACAAACAAAATGTTCATTTGTTACTCACAAAAATTAACAATCTTATGCAAAGAGGTATCGTATAACAAGTACAGTAACTTTAAAAGACTGAAATTTTTTTAATGAAAAGGAAGATTTTTTTCAAATTTTAAAAAGAAGTATAGAACTTTATACCCAGAAAGAAAAATTAAAATTTTGTCTAAAATAGAAAATAAAACTTGTTAGCAACTCCAGTCATGCATATTTTATATAATTATTTAACATATGTTGATGGGGGGTTTTATCTTATCCCATTTCACCTCCTTAAAATTCTTTTTTTTTTTTTTTTTTTTTAAATATGAAAATTCATCAAAACATTGAAAACTTTCACCCTTGCATGTGATGATGAATTAGGAGAGCATTTTATTGTAATTTAGGAAAAACTATATGCTTGTGTACTCAAAAAAGAAAAAAAAAACATGTAGGAATCAACTTTGATAAACAAAGGTGTAGATGAAAATGGTTTGAATAATTGAGTACCACAATTTTCGATCCGACTCGCTGCTCTAGCGAAAGCATATTACTAAGAGGATACTAGACACGACTAGAAATTGCAATTAAAATATCAATAATTTAAGTAATTTAAATAATCAATAATTTAATAAATCAACAATTCATATCAATCTGATATCCTTCTCAATAATCAAAAACTTCCAACTCTTTCAAACTGGCAATTGTTTTATTGTGAATTTCTTCCTCACACTGTGAAATTTAATAAGGAATCTCGACACCATAATTCTCCATTAGATGAATAAAAAGTATTGAAGGGTTGTTTATCAAAACTTGGGGCATTACTATGAAGAAACAGTAACAAATTGATTTTTCTTAGTATTTTTCACACGTCAACACAAATTTATTCTTTTTGACAACATATGTGAAAAAACAACTGGATTTAGTAAGCAATCCAATAATTAAACAAAAGTTTGCATTCTTCATGAGAACAATATTCTTCAGACCAGTTTTAAATCATTAGAAGGTGCAATGTCTAGAGAATGTATGTCCTATTCAAGCATTTCTTTGTAGTATCCGGCTTTATTGCAAATCTCTTCTGCACACCTTAGATTTGATTTAAATGGCAAGAAATTTTTTTTTACCTGACAACATTATTATTTATTATATTTCGCAGTCTGGAAACTTTTCTTCTTTTCAAAATGATTTTAGATTTAAATTTTTTTAAAAAAAGAATGTGGTAATAAACGCATCAACTTCAAATTATAAAAATATACAATTATAAACATAAATACTTGTTATATGTCCAGACAATATATTTGTTAATCATAATTTTTCATTGGAAAACTAATTTATTTGATTAATTAATTGGAATGAATTAATTAGATATTATTTTCAGAAACAACTTGAAGTTAGAACAAATGTGTAGTTAAAGAGGTACAGGTAAAAAAAGTATCTTTGTAGTTATTTTTACTCAGCATTGCAATTTTTAATTAAAATTGCAAAATTTCATGAATTTCCATAAATTTATCTTCAAATGGTAAATAAAACAAAATTATTTAAAGTGGGAACATTTTGCAATAAATGTTTTTTATTTACCAATAAATTATAAGAGTTTAAATTATACAGAAGAACTTTCCATCTAAGTAGTTAGCTAGAAATTATAAGTTTCTATAACACTTCTGCATGTTATTTTCAAATAAAAAAAATAATCTGCATAAAATGTTTGGTTATTGGGTATTTTCCAACTGAATTTTTTTTTTTTTAGGTGCATAGTGGCAAAATTTCAAACAGATATTCTCAGATATGGAAAAGCTTCATTAACTTTAAAAATAATTGTTATCAAATATATCTTTCTGTCACAGCCTTTTGGGATTATTCATTTCATAATTGTAGTAGATTTTCTAACTATTTACTCAGCAGAACTAAACCCCATTGGTTACGATTTTAATGAACAATTGCAAAATCTGTTACTTTCTAAGTTTGATGCTAAATCCTTTTATATATTGACTTGACAAAAAAAAAAAAAAAAGCTGAAATGAAATTTCCTAGCACACAGACTTATCTTGCTTTAAAGAGAGGTAAATAAATATAAATATATAGTAAAATAATAGGAAAAATTAAATAACACAAGTTTCATACGACTAAATTCTTTTTATTCAGCACATTAAAAAAATTAATTATCATAGATGTCAATATAATCCTGGTAGACCGGCATTTACAAATTATTTTAAGTTGTAATGAAATAACAATAGAGATCAAACTCAATTTTTTTAAATTGTGATCACTCTTAAGAAATTCAGAGCAAGATTACCAGGTATATAGAATTTATTCCGTACAACTTTAAATATTCAAGAAAAATCTGGATCCAAAAGCGGCAAAGTATAAAATAAAGAAAGAGAAAACTAAACCAAACAATATAGTTTTACTCTCAATATCACATCTAAAGCAAACAAATAATTTGTTATTAATAAACTTACTTGATACGTATTTTAGAATAATTTTTTGTTTATTTAAATTTATTCTTAAAACCACTAAGTAAAATTTAACCTTAAATAATAATCCTTCACTAATTCCAAAAGATTTTAGAAGTCAAAACATTTTTAACAAACTTTTACTAAAACATCAATTTCTATCATTTAGTTCATTAAAATATTTTCATTAAAGCTAAATAAAATTATTATGCTCAAAAAAATGCAAATGCCTTTTTTCTAAAAAAGCACCTTTAACTCAATCTGACGCAGTGTACCCAATCTGAGAAAATATTGCAAACCATTAGAAAAAAATATTTTCTATCTATCCTCCACAGTTTTTTAGCAACTACTCACTAGTCCTATTTAGCTTTATTGATAATTTTAATAACTAATGAAAAATTATCAAGACTAATTAGAATTTAAAAGAAATAATTTAATTTTTATATAACCAATTAATGAAATAACAATTAATTAGTTACAAAATCAAATTCGACTCATCACCATGTAAGATATCAAGTATATAAGTCGAGAGCTACTAAGAGTATATGGTTATAACTCTTACGTCACGACAAGTGAAAATTAAAGTTATTTTAGAAGTATAAAAGCTAAATTCGAAAGCCAGCAGCTTAAGTACATCTACTGTTAATATTATCTACTGTAGCAATAACTAAGGTGGCTACTGCCTGTCTGGAATGAAATTTCCAGTAGAAGAAAGGAAGCATAAAAAATCCAGTTTATTCCAGAGAGTTTTGAGAAGGAATCTTTGAAATATAATTTTTTTAATTCCCAGAAGATTAAATTGGTAATGAAATCAATAAATACACATTTTTCAGCAGAAGTAATGGAAGCCTTTTGCAAGAAGCACTATGGACGATTAGTTGATTAACTTTTTGCTTAATCTCTGTCAGCATATTTTGAGAAATAACATTCTACTTTATGTAGGTTTTTTTACCACTAATAATATATATCTTCCAACATTTTTAAAAAAATGTAAAATTTCAATTATATTCAGTAATTAAGTCAGTTAATAAATAATACATTGAAGACTGTTAATATTAAAATAAAGTATAGGCTATTAAAAAAATAAAAAATATAGTAACTTTAATATAGTTTCTGTTTATCTCATAATTTATATTGCAAATAAACCATCATTGTTTGTTTTTAAAATGTTCAATATTACTACCTGAAATTCTGAGTTTAATCCCCGAAACTTCAGGTTTTTTCCTAGTGTTATTTAATTTTTGAATCACTATGGAAATAGCTGCATGCTTCACAGAAAAAACAACATAATTATTCAATAATTTTTCTTTTAAAGCATTTGGAAATGACTAAACATTTCAAAATAAAAAGTTGAAATATTTACAATTTCACAAGCTGAGAACTGTTGGAATATTCAGAATCTGCCACTAATTTAAAAAATTATATATCCAAAATAATGAAAGCTTAATCAACCTTGACACGAAACCACAATGAAATAAAAAAAAAGATCATAGACTTCATGTGTACTTGAAGAAAAATCAAATAATAAACATAAGGTAAATGAATCAGATTTATTGTTTGTCAAAAGAATTTTAAATACACAATTTTGCATCATAAAAATTTATACTATTAACTGTATAGTTATGCAGGCAGAAAATGCCGTTGTTAAAACAGTATCTTACAATTCAAAATACTTTAAATACAATAAAAATAAAGAGAAATCATATTTACAGAACTTATTATGAAAATATTGCACAGTGAAATCTTTAAAAAAAAATGCTAGAGAGTCTATTATACAAATGAAAAAATATATTGTAAAAACACAGAACAATACTCAATGTTGAGGTCAAAATAAGATAAAAAATTAATAACAATTAAAATCCTAAAGAATTTACAGTCAGTTTAAAACTAATTTCCATTTGTAAAAACTAATATTTACATTTATACAAACTAATATTTACATTTATACAAACTGATATTCACATTTATACAAATCTTTACTCGAACTTAACCAAACTAAAATTCAATCCAATTATTAGTATTTAAATTAAATATCTCATTATTATTGACAGAACAAATTAATCACAAAATATTATTTAAAAAATAAATAAGAAAAAATTAAAAATAAAAAACTAATTTATCTTTCTCTAAACATAAATTCATAACTAATTAACCAATTTAAGTTATGTACGAATACATAGAACACATCAAAGATCAAAATTTTAAATCAAAATTGAGAAAGCATTAAGAATACAAATTTTAAATATATCATTATATCTATATAAATATTTTTTTTACAAGCTCACCGTTCATAAATGAATGACTAAAATAATATTCAAAATACAATATCTATAATGAAAATGAATATTTATCAATGAATTAAAAAATCTCCCTCCTTATTTAGAATTATTCTTTTTTAGTGTCATAGCAGTTAAAGCCTTTTCTAATTTAGAAAAATAAATTTCTTCTAACTGCTTATAACCACCACTAAGAACTTCTAAATTTTCAGTTGACTGACAAAACTCAGATAAAGATACGGAATTAAAACATGAAGTGTCTATACTAACAGTATCAATGTTCAAAGATGGCACAAAATTGAGCATGACTGATGCAAAGCTTTCATAGTCCATTTCTGTAGAATCAGATGTAACAATCTTCGACATAAATTCTCTTATCTCCTCTAGGGCTGGAAGAAGTTTTCTAACCATACGTTCAAATTCCGATCTTGGAGGAATCTCTTCAGGTTTCTCATAATCCAAGTCATGTGAAACACCGTAAAAGTCCAAGATCATGCCGCATAGTTGATGTATGACAGTCCAGTTATGTTCAAATACCCGAGAAACTGCTTCACTCCTAGATTTCTGATCAAGATCAGTGTCCGATGTTTCATTACTACAAAATGAAACATCCTCGTCTTTTCCTTCCAAAGTATCATTTACATTTGATACCTCTAAGGTAGCATCTGCGCTGCATTTAGAAAACTGCTGAATGCACGCCACCCTCATGTCCTGGATGTTTTCAATGTTAACATCCAAACTGGGACATTTTCTTTTGATGTCGCAAAATATATCTTCGATGGCCGTCAGAGTGTTAAGGCAGTCATCGTTTTTAAATTGAGAATAATCAGAGCTTTTAAAATTTGTCTGTAGCAGTATAAAATTCCTTCGAATTTTGCTTGAATAATTGGAAGCAAAAATACCATCCCAATATTGCACAATGACACCAAGGATACTTTTCATATTAGATAAATTGAGATTCAAAGATGTCCATTCATCACCGTGCACTTTCTTCAACTCAGTAATCACAAATGGATGAAGGACATTTCTCAGTTCTAAAAAGGCCTCTGAAATTATTTGGGATTTTTCCTTCTTTTCAGTGGTTTTTCCTGGCAATACTCTAACAGCACTCCACTTTCTATTTATTAAAACTTTCTTTTCAACTGACTTCAAAGGCTTGGGAGTAGAATTGACTCTAAAAGATCTAAAAAACTTAGGTGAAAAACTGGCTCTTGAAGTGTTACGTATGAAACTAAGTTTGGATACCAAATCCTTAATTGAAAAGATAGGTATGCCAAAAATGTGCGCTTTCGTGTCCAGATTTACGTCATTGGTAACTAAAATAACTTTTGCATTAGGCATTTTTTCGCTCAGACTCAAACAACACTCTATGAGTCGATCATCATTACATTCACTGTAATCTTTGGCCCAGTCCTTAACTTCTTTAACTGTTTGGCAATGAAACCTGGGATCTTTTTTTCTCACCATATTATTTATGAACCTTGAACACATCTTTGCCATCTGATATAACTTATGCTCTTTTGAATAACGTCTCAAAATACTGTCGATTTCTTGGATTACTATCCAAGGGATAAAGAGATGCGGGATGTCGTTCTTGCCAACTGAGGAATCAAATATCTTTATAACTAGACGCAAATCACCGAGTAATATGTTAGTGTCAACAACAAAATAATAATCAATGGATTTGTTACTTTTCGTAGGAATGTGACAATCTTCACTTGGTGAATTTAAAGACATTTCAGGGGCCAAGTCTTCATTAGATGACTCTCCTACAGGACTTAACTCAATGTCACTTTCTTTTTCTAAGTCTGAATTAGAAAAATCTGAAATTTGTAGGTCCATATTTTCATTAGAATCTGAAAATATCTGATTCCCATCAGATTCAGGACTTGACATATCTGAATGCTCATCATTTGCACAATATTCAGATAATCCCATATCCCCAACAGAAAAGTTCCTGTTTAGAGGAGTTCCAAATGAAACTCCACGCATAGGCTCTGCATTTCTACTAATACAATTTACACCCCTTGAAGTTGGCGTCACATTTAGTCTAAGCAAACGAGGATCTAGTTTCGATGCAGCGTAATTACCTGATGGTGTAGGATAATTAATTTTCGGTGTCAACTTCTCTTTATCTGATAAAACAGGAGTAACAACCGCTGTTGGTATGACAGAAGATTTTTTATTTGCCTTTTTCCCAGAAATATTGATAGTTTTTGAAAGTCGCTCAAACACTCGCTTCTCTAGAAAATCAATTCTTGGATCATCTTTGAATTCGAAGTCGGGTAAATAAAACTCATCACTTTTATTTCTGGCAAGATTATCGCTTGACGCAGAAGAATTAAGCAACTCAGGGTGTTCCCAGATGGAAGCTCCGGTATCAATATTAAAGTAATACACCTTACCAGGGTAGGATTTGGATTCCCTCACAATCCAACCTTTTGGCAAGGACCTTTCTCCTGACATAATTTATATTGCAGTATAAAGTGAAAAGAATAAAAACGATTACTAAAATTAAAGAAAACTAAAACAAATTCTATGATGAGAACAAGTAGATGAAAACAAGCGAATCACAACATGCGACAGAATATTACCTTGCCAGATGCAGTTCCACCAGCAACTCCAATCAAAAAAGGACTTTTAGAGTCAATTCCGTTAAAGCTATTGTATAATTTCATATTGTTAGCCATGACTAGAAAAATTTCTAAGTACAAGAAAACAAGACATTAACAACCAAGAAACGCAAAACGACACAATAACGTACTGGTGCAGAAGAAAAATTCGAAAAAATCTAAAACCTACGATCGTTGCAAACAGTTTTTTCAACTTGAGGTTTTAAAGTTCTATATTCAATAGTAAAACACATTCAATTCTAATCGTTCAGTTTTAAAATATCAATTTTCGAACTATAGGGACAGAAACTTTCGTTGCCACTAGATCTAAGTATATTTTAGAAATAAAATGCAATTGCCGAGAGCTAAGTTTCTTTTTGGAAACTAAGGAACTATTCCCACTGCATTCAATTTATTTACCGCAAATAGATTAACATCGTTCAGTATTTTTGCGACAATTCCTCGTAACTGTAACATGTCTTCCACTACAACTATTCAATTTCTATACACTAGAGCCGTGGTAGCTCAGGGGATAGATCATTAGCCTTCTAATTAATTGAACCGGGTTTGAATCCCAGTAATAGCCGGTTGATACGAATTCCGCACCCGACTCGCACCGATCACAGTGCGGACGTCAAATATCGTCAATGGTAGACGGATCATGGGATAGAGTCCTCTTGCCGTCAGGTTAACCGTGGGCACTTTTTGTGCTCTTCCTATCTACGTAACGCAAATGCTGGTTAGTTTCATTAAAAAGTCTTCCACGAAAGCAAATTTCTCCCAATGCTTGATCCAGGAACTCCCTTGTTTTCTGGATTAAGTTCAAAACTACATGGTTACGGACTTGAACATTAGCCTTATCACTAGTATATAAGACGTGTTACTCAATTCTATCATGAGGTACCTTTTGATAGATGAAAGTTGACATTGATTATAAATATGCTATCCACATTGGTAACCTTCGAACGGGATCTGATCACGCCTACCATGACTGAAACACCCACTTCGATAGATGGTTCGCATTGAACAATTGACTTGCTATTTGTGATTGCGACATTGTCCTCATCACGCTGTTGCTACTCAGTCTCGATCACACACAACGTCAGCCTGTATACACTCGAATGCCAATGGCAACACAGGAGCAGCCATGGCCGTAAACTTAATACAGATCTCAAGATCAACACTCAAAGTCCAGTGCTCTCAATACAGCTCTCCCAGATTCTCACCAAACAAAAATGAATCAATAACAAAATCAGAGACAAAAACGTACTTTCTCTGAATAAACATACCTTTTTCTCTACGGAATCGGATTGAGGACCATATTTGCCAGAATACGGTTACCCCCGCTATTTTGGTGGTCAGAAATCCGAATCCATCGAAAACAAAGTATGTTTATCTTTTAAGCGAATTGAGAAAAAATTTTGTTTTGAAATACGTTTGTCCAAAGATAATTTTATTCCAAAAAATTAATTTTATAACAAATATTTTTGTTTTATTTAATAACAGTCGAAAAAATTTTGAATTGTAATAGTTTATGAGAAATCGAATTTTAAAAATACATCTTTTTTTTGTAGTACATATGTCTATAACTTCTTAAAAGAATTTCATAAAAACGTTTAAATTGCTCTTTTATTAAGACTGATTTAATAAAAATTAAATAGAATTAATTCTTCAAGATATTGTTCAAATAAAATATACCATTAAAACGTTCACTTCTTTTATTTGTAAATAATTTTTTTTTTCGGGGGAGGGGGATTTTTCTTTTACAAATCATTTTAAAAGGATCCTCCCTATATTTTAAAGATAAAATTATAACAGCTTTGTCACATATACACTTAATGTAATGTGACAATTTTATTTCTAATTTTATTTAAGCCTTCAATTTTTTCTTTAAACGTTATTCCTCTTTTTTTATTTTAGCAATCTTTTTAACTTTCTTGGTGACCTTTCTCATGGTCGTTGCGGTCATCGCACTTCCTGTGGGGAAAGTCAACCAACCCCTNATACATAAATAACTTTATTATTACGCACCAAATAATATTTTTATTTAACTCTTACAAGCTTAAGTCAACTTATGCAGTATTTGGCTGCATCGCACTTTACACAGGGTAAAAAGAATGACAAAATGTAAAAATTGTTTATATCAAGGTGAATTAAATTTCACTGCTACACCTAATAACAAAGTATTATATTAAATACAGTTATATGTTTTATAAAACATAAATACAATGTTGTAAAGTGAACCTAACAACAAAGGGTTTTTAGTTCTCTACAAAAAGAAATTAATTATTTTTAAAACAATTTCTTCATCGCATATTTATAAATTAACATCCTGATGAACAGCACGAGCTTACAGAATAGCACAAGTCACATGCAGTGACGTAAATAGCAACCTCACTACGTGGATGACACACGCTTAAGAAATGATACACTAAACTATAAGATAGGGGTTGACAACTCTTGATGTCTGGCTCGTTAAGCACCTGTGACCTTAACATAATATTTATAAAAATAAAACTATTAAAATTTTTTGAACAATGAAAAAAAAATCTGAATTGCGCACCAAGTCTTCATAATTTTTCGATCGCTTTGTTCGGTTGTTATCGTTATCACCAATGCCGGATTTACGTATAAGCTAAATAAGCTGTAGCTTGGGGCCCCGAGATGACAAGGACCAGATCCTACTTTTTTTCCCTCTTTTTTTTAAAGTTTTCTTCGGAGCTGGGGCCCTCAGAAGCCCAAAATGCATTTTTTTTCTTTTTTACATTGTCGGACGCTGTAGGGCTGTAAATAGGGAGAAGGTCTTGTTAGTATTTCTTTGGGTCACCTTGTCTTGAGTTTTATTTTGTGCCACATTGTCGTTAAAGTGGTCCTTCAATTCCAATTTTTCTTTCTTATGAAATTTATTATAAAAGCTTTTTCTTCTTTTAACTATCATATCTTTTAACTATCATCAATTATTACAACGCTTTTCTACTGTGCCTCGAAAAATCCCGATACTTTCATAATCCGGTGCTATAACGATATACCTTTTATGTCCAACATTTGTGCCGATTACTTACATCGTCAATCCATGTAATTCTTAATCTGATAATTTTAATGCAATATTATCATTATAGATATAAAGGCAACCTATCATAGTCCCTGTTATTATAAACGTGATATTTGAAAGTGGGTTTTTAAACTGCTTACTTATTTCTGAACTTTGTTTCGAATTTTTTCTAGCTTAAATAGTTTAAAAAACGGTTTTAATACTTCTTATTATTCAAAAAATGTCTCTTTATTTACTAAATATATGTGCTCCAAAATTAAAAACATACTGAACTGAATCTTATTTTGAGCTGTAAGGCCCATTGAAATATTTAAAACCCTATTAAAATATTTAATTTGCATTTATGCTGGCCTATAATAAAAATATCAATATTTTCCTTTAATTCGAGAACAGTTGTTCAGTTAATTTATTTTAAAATGCTATTTTGTGTTACGTGATGTGATAAAAAAACAAATAAAATTCTTTCCATAAAACTATATTTGAATGAAAAAGAAATATTTTTAATTTGAAAAGTATCAGTTTGGTATTTTTAAGTTTTGAATGAATTTTAATATTCAAAAGAATTTAATTTTATGCAAATGTATTGACTGATAAAAGAAGAAAAAATCTATCATTGAAAAAGGTTGTGCACCCCTAAAAAATATTTTTTTGTTCAGAAAATATTTTTTAATTTTCTTAACTAATAAAAATAACTCTCAACTAAACTTTGAACATAATTATTGTAAAATAGAAGGTTATTTTTTTCCGCATTTTTAAGATTAACTTAATTTCAATGCAATAAATCGGTTAGTGTATACAATGTTCCAATTTAGTATTTTTTTTTATATCTATATTCAATAACATTAAAATAATTTAAATTAAAATATATAAATATTTAAAAAAATGAATGAATATAAGTACCCGAATGTCTATCGATTGTTTTTATTTCATATATAGAAAAATTCTTATTTTGCCCAATATATGGCATATTTTTAAATCTCGCAGGGGGGGGGACGCAAGTAACATTGATTAAAATAATAAAAATTTTTTATACTCCCCAGTAAAAAAACTATATATTCTTGAAAAAACTAAGTAATTTCATTTTTCTAAACGAAATATAACATTTAGCTTTTTTGTTAATTTCCGGAAGAAAAAAAAATCAACGTGGTGTTAAGTTGTTTTATACATTATTATTTATCAAGGATAGCCGACGGGAAAACCAATTGCGGTTTAGTTAATTATAATTTCGTTCTCTCCTCTTATTTACGTCTTATCAAATATAGGATCTGCTTTTACGCGTCCAAGACTCGGAATTTCAGTACCATTTGCATCATTAAGTCGCCACTTTTTCATTACACGCGGCGGAACTAGACTTGCCAAATGCTTCTGGAACAATAAATTACATTTCTCCATTTAATTAATTTGAGAATATTCGAATTTTTTAATACCCATTCATTAATAATCTTGAGTTAGCGCCGTTTGTATTTGCAAAAGGGACGAATATTAAAAATTTTTCAGAGTTTTTAAAAATTATGAACTCACTGTCTCAGTTGTTCAAAAGAATTTTGTGAAGTTTCATTTTTACGTTAAAATTTCTGTAAAGTGCCCATTGTTACTATAAAAATCGATGGGTCCATTAAAAAGCCTAAATAAAACTCTGAAATGGTAGAAGACAAAAAAATTGTAATACTTAAAATAATTTCTATTAGATACTTTAACTGTATTTTAGAGAGAAAAAATATATATATTATTTTTTGTAAGCCTTAAGGAACATCATATATACAAAAGGATTAATTTTGAAATTGAATCAAAATAACAACTATGAAAATAATTAAAATTGTTTGATAGAATTTTTCTGTGCACTCCAATTTCCTTTGAAAATTAGCTCTAAGTTCACCTTATAGAAAACACGCGGACTGATTTTCTTTTAAATAGATGATAGGTCTTACTTTATCCTTTATTAACAAAATACTTTGAGCACACCTGCAATTAAAAATATTCATGGTTATTTAAAAACCACTGCCATAAGGTTCTATAGCAAAAATAGAATTTATTCGACAACCACATTGTACAAAAAAAGTTGTTCTTTCACAAAAAGTATATTTTAAATTGCTGCTTAATTATCTCATATCTGAAATCATCTTGAAATAAGAATTTCTGATAATAGTGTCGTACTAAACATTGCAGAACAATATATGATCATTTTAAGTGCTAATGTTTCTAAAAAATTTTTCTACAGTTGAAAATTTCTTCACAT